ATTATAAAGTTTTGCAGGTTACATCTTACATCAGTGTAAGATTGAACTTCCAAAGGTGTTTTATAAGTGTCTCTCCTCTATCTCCTCTGGTTACATTTTGCAGACTGACAGCCACAAGCAGGCTAGAGGCCACAAGCAGTGAAGTTATCATTGAATTACATCATAACAGATTTCCCTGAAGTCTACTTCTTGGACAAAGTTAATCTTGAAAAAAAGTTTTAATATCTGAATACGTTTTTGTCCAACAGATGTAACAAAATCTTTAGATGTATCTTACTCATTTCTTGGGCTAAATATTAGGAATTTTTAGGACAAACAGAGGAGTTGCTTCATTCATATAGGACCTAATACCACATGCTTCATTCTGGTAGGCATATACCCAAAAATAAACTTTGCTGTCCTGCTGCCTAGGACATTACCTCATCCTGTAGTGTGGCAAATTCCTCAAGAATGTGACCCAGTTTATCCCTCTGACGAGCTCTATTGTGTCCATGGATTTGAATCAGACTACAGAATGGCTGAAAGAAGCAAAGTGTAATTTTAAATTATCAACACAACTTTGAAACTACAGGAGGAGCACTATGTCTATTTAGGCACCTGTTTCATACATCTGTATCAGGAGGTGGGTTCCTTTAAGGCTCCCTACGAAGTGCAAGCCAGAAGGCAAGCAGGCTCTTTGGAAAGAGGCAAGAGTGCATTTCTCAATACACAAGTCACTATGAGATAGAGAGAGCATCCTTTAGGAGTTCAAGCAGAGCTAAATGCTTGGGGTAAAACAAATTTCTTATGCCTAAATCCATGTACCCAGGTGACCAAGAAGGCCAATGGCATCCTGGCATATATCAGAAACAGTGTGGCCAGCACAACTAGAGCAGTGATCAGCCCCTGTACTTGGCACTGTTGTGGCCACACCTTGAATCCTTTGTTCAGTTTGGGTCCCTCTCAACAAGGACACTGAGGTACTGGGGTGTGTCCAGACAAGGGCAATGGAGCTGGTGAAGGGACTTGAGCACAAGTGCTATGAGGAGAGGCTGAGGGAGCTGGTTTTTAGCCTGATGTAGAGGAGGCTCAGGGGAGACCTTATCACGCTCTACAACTACCCAAAAGGAGGCTGTAGCCAGGTGGGTTTCAGTCTCTTCCGCCAGCAAACAAGTGATAGGACCAAAGGAAATGGCCTCAAGTTGTGCTGTGGGAAGTTTACACTGAATATTAGGAAATTTTTCTTCATGGAAATGTTTGTCAAGCACTGGAACCAGCTTCCCAGGGAAGTGGCTGAGTCACCATTCCTGAAATTATTTAAAAGGTGTGTAGTCATGGCACTTAGGGACATAGTTTAGTAGTGGACTTGGCAGTGCTGGGTTAGAGACAATGATCTTAGAGGTCTTTTTCAACCTATGATTTTCTTAAGATTTTCATTGTGCCACATTCAATAACCAAATCTTGTAAGAGTTTTTAAAACACTTAAACTGGAGAGAATGTAAAAAAACCCACTTGTTTCTACTAGGATTTGCTTTGTGACATGAAACTACCCTGTCAAGAGGGGGTAGGTGCAGATTTCTAATAAAGTGAAAAGTTAGAGAAAAATCTGGGTGCATTACACAGGAAGAACCTGGCAATAATCATCCCAGCTTTTTTATATCGTTACCATTTCAAGATGACAAAGTTCTCCAGTTTTGCCTTCATCTTAGGTGTCTAAAATAACTGGTCTCCTTTTAAAATGTATGCATATCTTCCAAGTGCCCATATACACATAAACATGCTGTAACTGGAATGAACACTTACCCGAACACAATGTGTCACAAAAGAATCAATGTAGTCCTTTGCCTGGTGATTATTATAAAGACAACACCTAAAAGGGAAATATTCACATACATACATTTATAAATGCCACCATCTGTGTAGCACAAGATTAGAAAAGAAACACAAGTGCAGCAATAGCAACTGACTCCTTCATACACAAGCACTAGTAAGTACAATATGTGTATTTGTCCTTACTTTTTTAAGCAGAAATATTTTTCAATCAGACATGTAAAGACACATGCAAGCAAACTCAAGATCCACTTACTTTGGAGACAGTACCGGAGGACTAACAAAAGACCTTAGAGCATCTTTTACCATGTCTTGCATGAGATGAGTGCCAAACACCTTCTTGTTATCTACTAGGAAAGTTGTCTGAAAGTAAAAAAGGAGTTTTAGAAACATGCTGTTTTTAGTTAAAAGTAATGCTCTAAAAATTACTAACAGAAAGCTCCTACAGTACCTATATCATATAAAAAACCTGTAAGATTTCTTTAAGAATTAAAATCGTTCAACTGGGCCCAGCATTACAGACTCAGAAAGAGACGTATTGAGATATGACACTTCTGTTGCATTCCCAGCACACAAGATACAGATCTATTACTTGCATAAGGCAATGCATGCCAAATTTATTTTATTTCTTGGACTTTAAAGATGACAAATCAGACAGATATTTCTGAAGATTAGCATAAAATAGGTTATGTGCCTTCCCTGGAGGCAGATAAAGGTAAATCTTCAGACTACTGCAGGCTTTTTTCTACCCCTATACTACTGCTGTCATTGGTCATGTCTGATGCTCATTAACTTTCCTCCATGTGTGCTCTGTCTGTTTCTTACAGCAGACGGAGCAGTTGGGATTGCACAAACACATGTAGTGGAAAGCCAGAGCACACAGGCTATGAACCACTTTACTTCCCAATTAGTTATACTCCCTTGGCTCTACACATGATTTAATAGAGATCAAACATAAAGAAGTTCTGGCATCCAGGGTCACACTATTAAAATTAAAACCTCCTATAAGGAACTATGTGCTCAGAGTTAAGGAATGTACACTGCACTTTCAATTAAGTGAAACAGTGAGAAAAAAACAAGAAGAAAACAGGGAGATACATAAAAACACCTGCCCCAACTTAAGTGCGTATAGCTTTAGGGCCAGAAATTTTATCACTTTCTGTTTTAATTAGCATGTACTAAAATGATCTGCACAACAGTATTTAAAAGTGTTAAAAAAATTAGATCAGAACATAAGTCTCCATATGTAGCATCATAAAATAGTTTTGGCTGGGAGGACCTCAAAGATCATTCAGTTCCAAACCCCTGTCATGGGCAGGGACAACTTCCACTATACCAGGCTGCTCAGAGCTCCATCCAGGCTGGCCTTGAACACTCCAGCAATGGGGCATCCACAGCTTCCCTGGGCAACTTCTGCCAGTGTCTCACCACCCTCACAGCAAAGAATTTCTCCCATAATATGTAATACTTAAATATTTTTACCACTTACATACTATGAAGTTATATGCAAATAATTAAAATATTTGAAACAATAAAAGGAATCCATATTTATAATGAATACAGAAGTATTCTGTTCAAACACAGAGTAGGACTTGCCTGTAATAGGGATCTCGAAAGAACACATGGTGATTGCTCACTAAACTCACAGAAAAAGTCCTAATTTATAGTTAGAAAAAAAGAAAAGACAATTCAGGTTAATATGCCAATTTATATATGTATAGATATACACACAGTCACATTTTTACATGCACACACACTTGCATCTTATATAAACACATATATACAACTGTGTATATACAGCTGTATTTTGTATAAAGTCATACAAACACAGCACTGCTTATAAAACTTATAAGAACGGGACTGTGAATGACTTAAACATATTATGAAGATAAAACAAATTTTTTATGTAGTTGTCATTCAACAGAAGAAAACAAAGTTTCTGAATTTTGCAAATGCAACAACTAGAAGGATGATAGTACAGAAAAAAATACTATGACACCATTAAGATCACAACATAACCAAATCAGGTACGCAACAAAACTGCTAACGCTTAACTGGGACCAAATGCTTCATGCAAACACCCCTTTAATACAGTGAACAGGAAATAGGAAGACAAAAGATTTTTGCTTGATCTTCAAACTGATCTGTGTCTCTTTTCTCAGTCAATGAACTCATGTACACTAAAAACATTTCAAGCATTTAAGTGTTTTCTAACAAAAGTAGACAGTAACAGAGAATAACATCATTTGTTCAGGAAAGAACATAAGCAGGTGCTTAGCTTTATGCCTATTCAGGGAATTGCATGCTTAAACAAACATATTAAGTGCTCTCTTGTGTTACAGGTACATATGCAGAATGCTGCTAAATTAATTTGAAAAAACATCAGGCATAGAGCAAGGAATTGTGTTCTGCTGCTGCAGGTGCAGCTCTTCAATAAAAGAAATTTGCTTAGCCTCTGCCACGAACATTAATAATTATTTAACAAATTATGGGAAAAGTAGGAGGTTTGAGAGGAGAAAAGGTCTTTGTCATAAAGAAGAAAAATATTAAGCATAAGGAAGGACGGTAAACTTCAAAATTGTATACAACAATGAGAAACACCAAAAGATATGCATACAGAGCGCTCAGTTTTCTCTCCCGTGACCAATACCATCCGTATACGGAATGATTTTTTGCAAGCTACATTTTAAGATCTTATTTTTGGCAACAAACAAGAAATACTCATTCTTACCAGTATACAGTGCAAATTAGTTAAGTTGACTACTTCACATACAGTTTTTATTCGGTCTATTAGTTTGGAAAAATAATTGACCATTTCTTCCCTTTTAATTATCTTTGCATATCGAGGGAAAGTTGGTGGCAGCAATCTCTGATTAACAAGGGGCTCAAAGCCCATCATAATAGGATGATCTAATGATGGAAGAGAGAAGAAAGAGAAAAGTTACATATAAGCTATGTTTTCAGAACTCATTTCAAACTTTCAAGTAGAACACAAATTATTCAATTAGCCAAAGTGAGTATTTTAACTGACAGTTAACTTCCAGAGACTCTAACTACTCAAGTAAGGCAATAGTTACTATTTAAAAACTCCCCAATCCTCAATATCTCAATATATACTTGTACAATCAGTGAGGTGCTGTATCCTATTTTACTATGACTCATACACTGATTTGAAGTGCAATGCACTTTATCAAAAGTTCACACTATCTCTGGCTTTGAAGTGACAGTACTGCTTTCAGGAGAACCATCATTTAGTGAAATGAAATTTAAAAATGTCGATCTGTAACAAATTGTATCATGGCTATTATTAGTTCAAAGTAAATGGTGATTTTAACATTTTTAAATACACAAAGATATTTAAGTTTATCAAGAGAGAATATTTAAGAAAGGAAAAATGGTATAATTTGATAAATACCCCCTTTAGTGGTATCATTCTGTGCCTGCATGCCATGATGCAATGAATTGTGGATGGCAGAAAGCAAGTCAGCTGCCTGAGTCATTAGTTTCTGAGCTTCTGCAACTGCACTTGTCTGAAACGCAGAAAACAATTATCCACATTATGCACCAATATATTTTGACTATACAATTAATGCTAGTACAAGAAAAAAAAGAGTAACATTAGGATTCTGATGTTCTCACACAACCAGTTCTGAAAAAAACCCCCAACATAATTTTGTGCAATAGTGTTCTTTGTATTTTACTTATCTGTATATACATTCAATACTGTGCGTTATGCTGTATAAGACTTAAGAATAATTACAACTGAAAGACTCGTTACGCTACGTGAAAGTCTACTCTAGGAAGGTGGGGCGTGGCAAAACCCCCCACAAGACTCTTCTGCCAAACCAGCCAGAACTCGAATCTGCTAAGCAGATCTAATTTGAATCAAAGCAGCCCATGATGTAAATAACTTATACTTCAGGTAATCAAACTTTAGCAACACCAAGAAAATCTGATTATGCACATATCAGTAACTCACAGCTGTTAACAAAGAATTTGATTGCACATCAGTGTAGATCACTTCTATGTCACAGTTTGATTTCTGAACTAATGGTTATACTCAGAATGCAACTGTTCTCAACCACTCAACCATTTATTCCTTAACACTGGTGTCTAACAATGCTCGCACCTCACTTTCAATTTAATCAAGATCTTTTAAACTGTACAGAATGCAGCTGCTCTAACAGCAAAATAGGGGGGAAAGACTCCACTGCCACTTAAGAGCCTTGTTCACTTCTTTTTAAAAATGGAAGTAACAATAAGCAACAGACAGATATTTATCCCTGTATAAAAAGCTATCCAAACAAAAAGTTTTGCATTGTGTGGCATTGCCTAAAAGCATGAAATTCCTGCCTCTCCCAGCAATTAGGATATCTTATGTTCAAAAACCAGGCAAATTGCATATTCCTCTTCTCAAACCAAAAATATCTAGAGGCAAATTCAGTGTCACACAGAGGGAAAAGCTAACAGTTCTTCAGAGATGGACAAAACACTGCTCAATGTCAGGTAACTTCACAGGAGGGGTCTGAACTCAAGCAAATAAAGTTTTGCTTGTATGTGTGAAAAGAGTAATCCGAAATCCATGAATACATTTAAGTATTCTATAATGAATATTCTGTCTTTCTGCAAGACTGTAGTAATATCAGCTACTAACCTTCCCTGTGTTTGAACAAAAACTGAATGTTTGACACTGTAAGGCCTTATCCAATGTTTTACTCGTACTCACATCAAATCAAATCTTCTGAGTCTAGAGAATAATTGCCTAATCTTAAGACAATGAAAAGTGAGCATTTCACAAGATCACAAGGAGAACACAGAGACACCAAATGAACATACCTCTTTCTTTGTAAATGCTATTAGAACAGTCAGTAGCAGGCGGGTGAACTTGACTCTGCTGAATACAGCTAAACACTGCTGATGCTGTAATGAAATTATACTGCAAATTACTAAACAATAGGCATTACATCATAGAATCATAGACTATCCTGAGTTGGAAGGGACCTACAAGGAACACCCAGTCCAACTCCTGGCACAGCAAAGGACCACCCTAAGAATCAAACCATGTGCCTGAGCATATTGTCCAAACAATTCTTGAACTCTGCCAGGCTTGGTG